TTTTTTTTTTTTTTTTTTTTTTTTTTTTTTTAATACCGGGGATTGAACTCGGGACCTTGCGCTTGCAAAGCAGACAGCAGAACTGCTGAGCTAAATCCTGGCCCTTGGAAGCTCATTTCTAATGCTGTGTGGTAGGCATGGCTACCGGGAGGTGAGGAGAGAGGAGCACCACCCTCTTTGTCCACTGGGAAGTGAAGGGGGTCTTCCTCTGAGTGTAGCCTCGGACTCCCTATTTGGGACAGAAACTGGTGTCTCCTCTAAAGGAAGACCCAGAGCTGAGGAATGAAAACAATGGCCAACGCCCGGAAAGGGGACATTCACTCCTACCTCTCCGACGTCCACAGGTCGGAATATTTCTGAGCAGTGGCTTCACTGGCTACCCCATTTCCACACAGGTGATCATTTATGATCTTACTGGCTTCACCCAATATTTCTGTCTCCAGAACCACAAGAACTGGACCGAAGATCTCTTTGTGACAGGTCATCTTTGGCTTGACAGATGACAGTCAGCCCAACGGTCATCATTTTTATAGCCTTTGATTCTAACGCTTCACCCATCCCGAAGGATGGAAGGGGCTCCCTCCTCTGGTCTGCTGCCCACCAGATTACAGACTCGCTCTTTGACTGGAGGTGACCAGAGCGCCAAGCTCAGCTCCAGCCCCGTCTCCTGCATCGACTCAGTTTCTGGCAAGCTCCCCCACCAGCCCTGCATCCCCTTCCTAACTTCTCCCACGAGGGCTGCTGTTGAAAGGGTGACTGGCACCGACCAGCAGCTCCAAATGCTGCCCGCCCAGCTGGTCCAGGGTGTTTTCCTTACTGGCATCCGGCATGACTACCTCATGGCCCTTGGCTGCCGAGCTGGCTTCAACCCTCTTGCCATGTCTTGACCCTCTCTTGAAGATGTGCTCTCCTGCCCGGATGGACCCCGTATCTTTGAGTTTTAACAATACCTTTGTGCACCCAGGGTTGCAGCAGGGTTTTGGAGTCACATAAACTGCTTCATCCTGACTCAGTCCTGGCGGACATACCTGGCCGGGCCCTCTCACGGCGGCACACCTGTGACCTCCGGCTCTCTGTCACCTCAGGTGGAGCGGAGCCAGCAAGAGCACGACTTCGTCAGCCCACCTAGGCTGGGGCCCCAGACCTTACACCCGGGAACGTGAAGCCGGGGCTGGGGCACCTCCACTGGCCTGGGGCACGTGTACCGAGCACCTGCGCTGTCCCAGGGGTTCAGCCAGGCGAGCCCCCGGCCAGGAAGCGGGCTCCCAGGACTCCTGCCAAGTCCTGGTGTTCTCGCTCCCACCGCAGGACCCGGGACCTGGCTGGACACCTCCGATGTGAGCTTCAGCAACTGGAAGCCGGGGCAGGTAGCTCCTGCTGCCCACGCCTGCGGCTACATCAGGAGAGGCCCCTCCGCCGAGTGGGCAGCTACAGACAGCTGTGCCCAGGCCTTCGCCTCCGTGTGCGAGTTTGGTGAGCTGGCCCTGCCGCGGGCGCCTCCTCCCCCCGGCACTGTCTCCTGTCTCGCCTGGCCCAGCACACGGGTCTGGCCTCCTCTGACTCCTCGGCTTCCAGCTCTCCGACCGCCTCTTCCTGCCCACCTCCTTCTCCGTCTCACACCTCCTCCTTCTCTTCTGCTTCTCATTAGGGCTCATCTCCCTGTGTCTTCCTGTCTAAGTGCCGGCCTGTCTTTCTTTTCGTTGTTGTTTTTGTCTTTGATTTTTGTTTTGAGACCAGGTCTCGAGGTGCGGTCCAGGCTGGCCTCAAACTCATGCGGATCCTCCTGCCTCAGCCTCCTGAGTGCTGGGATTACAGGAATCCACTGCCATGCTTGGTCTTTCTGTCATTTTCTGACTTGGCCGCTGCCTGGAACATTCGGGCTCTTTCCCTTTTAGTCCCCACCCCTCCCTGTGATGCTCCACACCTCTGTGCTGCCCGTCACTCATCCACTGCCCGGCTCGCTCTGACCCAGGTGTCCCTTTCCCTTTGCAACAGAGGCTGGCCAGAGCCTGGCGTGTGAAGGCCTCAATGCCACCATGCACTGTGGCTCTGGGGAGGTTATCCAGGTCCAGGAGGCGGTCTATGGGCGTCAGACCCCGCATTACTGCAGCCAGGATGCCCGGCGGCCCTCGGACCCAGAGGAGGACCGCAGCTGCGTCCGCGTCAGGGATGAGGTGGCAGGTAGGACCCACAGACAGCTGTAATGATGTTCAGACACGTGGGGACACTGGCCAGGGCATCAGGGGGCAGTGGCTGACGTCAGACACAGCCCCTGCATCAGGAAAACTTCTGTGCCCCTATCCCTTGAGAGCACAGGAAACACTAACATATTAAACTTAATATTTTGCATTTTGAAATATTTAAAACATACAGACAAGAATAAAAATATTATATGACGATGAACCCTCAGAGCCACGGCTCACCGTTGTCACATCTTAACCCACGCAATGTTTGCTCAAGATTATTTTGTTTAAAAAAAGAATGAACACATAACCGGCTGTGGTGGCACACACCTTTGATGCCAGCACTCAGGAGGCTGAGGCAGGAGGATCGCTGTGAGTTCAAGGTCAGCCTGGGCTACACAGTGAGTTCCAGGTCAGCCTGAACTGCACAGCAGTGACCACTGTCCAGCTGTGGGGTCCTAGGCCTTGCTCTCTGCCTGGCGACCCTCCCCGGCTCAGGCCCTGCTGCCACCCGTAGCCGCTTTCACCGAGAGGCCCTTGCTCCCCTGCAGCAGGATAGGGAAGGAAAGGCTGGAATCAGCTCGTGGGGCATCTGTGACCCTCCTGGCTGCTCTGGTTCTCCTGCCTCCTGCTTTCACCAAGGCGCCCTGGGGCTGGGCGGGCTGCCGCCTCAGTGTTCAGCAGGGTGGCAGAGAGAGAGGTGAGCCCTGCACTCACTGGAAGGCGGACTAGACGACCCGGGGGCCCAAGACCTAAAGGCCCTGACCAGTCACTCGAGCTCACTCATTCATTCAGCCGGTTACGGACCCCCACTATTGCGCTAGTCACTGTCCCAGCTCTGGGGATTCGGGAGGGATCTGTTCTTCTTAGAGTTCCAAGTCCCGTGGGGACACGGAGGCGTCTGCGCTGCGGCTGATTAACGACTGCAGCAGGGGAGGGAGCCTGTTTTCCCGCGGTTGTGGGCTACCTACCATCCCGTGTGCTGGAGACACGGTAGAGGGCAGAATATTTGAAATCTCCCACTCCTTTGGAGATCCTAGAGTGGCGCTGTGGGTGCACGGAGAAGGAGCACAGAGCTCAGGGGAGGAGTGGGCCCACCGGAAATCCTGTGGGTGCTGGGGGAGACAGAATGTAGGCCTAGAACACACACGGCCCTGGTTCCATCCCGTGAACACACACACACACACACACACACACACACACAACACGCAATGTCACAATGCAAAGAGACAAAGCTTTCTTACAAATGTTTTGAGCAGAGAACTTCTTAAAAGAGCAGAGTCCTGGCCCTCACAGACCCGGTACATCCAGAGCGTGGAGGGAGGGTCTGCAATTCCAAGTCCTCACAACCCTCCGGGACTCTGGCATCTGCTGACATTTGAGATCCAGTGTGCCAGTCCCTGAGCCGGTGATGGGCAGGAGTCCTGTCCTCTGAGAGCCCAGCCCAGTGCCTGGTCTTCAGTATTCGCCAACAGACACTGCTGGGAGGTGCAGGTAGTGTGTCCATCCTCACTCACCCCCGCCATGCGTGCTGAATGCTTTGTCCTTGCGTCCTGCGTGCTCTTCTTGCTTCCGCTGGGACGTGGGTGCTTCCCAGGCCAGTGCCAAGGGCTGCAGGTGTGCCAGGTGGCAGCAGATGGGACCTACTTTGGAGACCTGTGCCCCCGTCAGGGCAGCTACCTGTGGGTGCGGTACCAGTGCCAGGAAGGTGAGTCCGGGGCAGGGGACTTTTCTTATTTCCTCACTGTGTCCAGCTTTCCCTGGGAAGGAAGAGGCAGCCGCCACCCCCAGGAGCCCCAAATGGTTTTCACCCCAGCACCCTTCAAATCAAAGCCACGGGGTGGCCCCAGGCATAGAACAGACAAAACCAAGGTTACTCAACTGGATGGAGCCGAAAGACCTCTTTTTTACAATTCAGAAATCTTGAAAGCCATAAAAATAACCTACATTATCACAATTTATAAAAGTTTTATAAAAATCTTTAAAACCTCCTTAATTTGATAATCCTACTCCCTAAAAAGAAACACAATTATTTAGAAGAAATTCTTTTCTGCTTTGTAGGATGTGTGCATAGACATGGCTGTACGTGAATGTATATACACATAGTTTTATAAAATATAGTCACACAGGGCCGGGAATTTAGCTCAGTGGTTTCACCGCCCGCCTTCTAAGTGCAATGCCCCAAGTTCGATCCCCAGTACCCAAAAAAATTTTTAAATAAAAAATAGAGTCACACAAAACCCATTAGTCTTACTTCTCTTTTGCTAGTAAAATATCCTGGCCATCTCTCCAAGTCACTCTTATTCTTCTAACGACTGCACTGTGTTCTGTCACTAGGTTCTGACCAAGTGCCCCTGTCCCCGGCCACCTAGGTTGCTGCTTTGCCCTTTGTCCTGTGTCCTAGCCCACGCTGGCAGTGACACGGAGGGGAGAGCCCCTGGCTGCAGCGTCCGGATCGCAGGGAAAATGCCCTTTCCTGTTCATGGACATCGCAACTCGGTCTCCAAGCCAGGGCACTGCCGTACTGCAACCGAGACTGAGAGCGCAGGCTTCCCTAAGGCTGGGAAAGCTTATCTGAGGGTTACTCAGCAACTCCTCCTGAGGGGGACAAAGAGCTCTGAAGGGAAGACACGATCGGGGGTGCCAAGGTCCCCCGGGGACACCTAGGACAGCAGAGCCAGGAGTGTAGAGGAGGGAGCAGCAAGGGCGGGTGGCAGCACGCGCCTGGCCGAGATGAAGCGCCAGTGAGGCGTCTCCACACTGGCCTCAGGCCGCGCGGATGTTGGCTGCCATCCTTTTGGTGATTCTGCTGGAGGACAGAGGGTGCCCCCTGGAGGTCAGCCGTGGCACTGCTGTCACCTGACATACGCGGCTTACTGCATAGGGCTGGGTTGAACCGGCAGCCACAGGGACCAGATTTCCTGCTCCTACCCTGATTCCAAATACCCTGGGCCCTGTGAACCGGTTGTCTGGTCACAGTCGGCCTGATGTGCACAGGGAGGGACTCTCTCCAGCACCTGGTGGCTGTGCCCAGAGGTCTCGGTTGTGTCCTGAGCAGCGATTCACCCTGACACTTTGGCCAAGCAGGTTTTCTTAAAGGCATGTTCTCGTTCGTCTTTTGAAACCTTATAAAATATGTCTTGACAATCCACAGACTCCTGGTTAAACACATTAGGGTACATTATGGAACTATTCTAAAGAACAAGACAGCTAACTGGAGTCGTGCAGAGCAATCTCCGAGACAGACATTCTAAGGGAAGACGTGCAAGGGGCAGAGCGGTGACCATACCGGGCACCACTTGTGTAAATAAAAACACACCTACAAACCCCCCATACATACATGCTCGTGTGTGCAGCTGTCTCTGGAGGGCACCTGGGTACAGGTAGCAATGGCTGCCTCTAGGCAGCTGCACTGGGGCTAAGGGGTAGGTGGCAAGGCAGGCTTGCTTTTCTCTCTCCTCTCTGTATATGTCTGCTCCTGTATTTCAGTTTTATATGGCCTATGGATGAAAACAAAATTCCAAAGAACTTTCGAAAGTAAAAATAAAATTAAGCCAGGTGTGGGGCACACGCCTGTCATTCTAGCACTTGGGAGGTTGAGACGGGAGGATCACAGTGAGTTTGAGGCCAGTCTGGGCTACATATTGAGTTCAAGGCCATCCTGGACTACATAGCGAGACCCTGTCTCAAAAATAACAAAAGTAAAATAAAAAAAAAATCTTTAAATGCACCCACCAAATCATGGTCAGGTAGAAGGGAGTAAGTTTTAAGCAGAAATGCACCACTTTGTGTCACAAGGGCACAGAGCATCTCCTGTTTGGATCTGCAGGGCTGCGGCTGCTGGTGTCCAACGAGAGCTTCATCTTTGACAATGTCACCATCTCTCTGACATGGCCCCTTTCTCCCTACGTCGGAAACCTGTCCTGCATCCTTAGTATGGGAGATGGCCACACCCTTGATCCCTACTACCCCCCCAGGTAAGTGGAATCTCTGGCTTTTGGTCAGATTGTGTCGGTCAGTTTTGCTGTGTAGCAAGCCTCTCCACAATGGTTTAAACAGTGTTTCTTAGTTCTCACGGTTCTTGGGAGAGCTGGTGACTTTTCCCGTCCGGGCCGACTGCAGGTGTGAGCTGGCCAAGGAAAACCCCCTGACTCACATACACAGTGGTCTGCCGATGGCAGCTGGGCATGTGCCCTTCCTTAACCACAGGCTGGCCAGTGGCAGAGGTCCTAGCAGTGAGATCAGGAAGCTGTTAACCAGTGTTAGCTTCTTCCCATGGCAGTGAAGAGCTAATTCTGCTGCCTGGAGGGTGCAGGCACAGGGTCATTGACTGTCTGTCTGAGGTTCTGTCTTCCTTTTAACCCCTGGGGCCTGAGCTCCAACGCCAGACAGTCCTGCTTTGTGTCATGGTCTGCCACTGCCTCGCTGTGTACCTCGGCCCTGCTGCTGTGCCTCTCAGAGCCTCAGCTGCTTTGTATAAACAAGAGGATAATTACCCAGCACAGCACCGGCCAACGGGAATGCGGTGTGAGCCACATGTGCACCACAGCAGAGCGCCACGGCGCCAAACAGAGCGTCTGTCACGGGTCCCAACCCAGCTGCCGCCGCGAGACTGAGCTCCCGCGGCAGCCCTGGTCCTGCCGGGCTTCTCCTTCCTCTCCTGTCATTCATACTGATGGCCGCCTTGACCCTGTCACGGAGTCACATGTGACGACGCTGGGGGTGGGGGTCAGAGCCATACAAGCACCTACGACATTTTCTGTCGGATTTTTATCTGCTACCCTTTTATATAGACATCGATGGGTGCTAAGTTAAACACTCCTCCGGCTCCTCCCCTGCGTTTGTACTGCTTGAGTTTGGCATAGTCGAAACTGACCGGGTGCAGCCAGCTGAGAGCTTTTGTTACAGGAGGACTTTGCATCAATAGATAAACCACGCTTTCACATAGAGGCCGACGGCATGATACTGAAATCCGCCCATTCTGGATGGGCTGATTGTCGTGTTACCCTCTGGAAGTTTCTATGCATGAAACTGAAAGAAACAATAGGCCTCGCTTCACATTTGCTCTTCAGCCCGTTTGCCCTGAGCAAGAGCCACTGGAATTTTCTCTTGTAAAAGACGGTGCGCACCCCCACAGTCACCAACCCAAGTGGTCCAGGTTCTACTCTGAGGACTCCTTGGACCTCGAAGCCATGCACTTGGCTTCTTCCACCACTGTGATGGATGCAGGGAGCGTGTTTCTGCTGCTTTTTTTTTTTTTTTTTGGCACTAGGGATCAAACCTGTGAGGCAGGTGGCAGCACCACTGAGCTACATCCCTGACCCTCTGCTGCTTTCTTATCAGCGCTTGCAGCCCCTGCCCTCCAGCTACAATGGGGAAGGGGATTCTAAGTACACAGAAGCAAATGTCATTATGCTTTTCATGTGCATAGACTTCTACTTTTGCTTAACTCTTCCTTAGTCAAAGGGATAGAGATTTTAAAAATCAGACCCTCCTGCTGGGTGTGGTAGCACAGGCCTGTAATCCCAGTGCTCAGGAGGCTGAGGCAGGAGGTTCGCTGTGAGTTCGATGCCAGCCTGGGCTACATAGTGAGTTCAAGGCCAGCAAGACCCTGTCTCAAAAATCTAAACATCAGACCCTTTAGATCTTTTGTTTGAGCTCCAAGTGCAGGTGCAGCTTGATCAAGTCAAAGGATTTTCCTTCAGGAGCTGTATCTCACCTTGCATTCTCTGTCTCCTGTTCGTTTGCGTGGTGCTGCTTTGTTTCAAGGCAGTGGAAAACCTGAGTTTCTGAGACTGCATTAGGGGCCTACCAGACAATTTATGTAAGATGAAACACGTCCAAATTCAGAGCTGAGTAGCTTTGCGCCACCTACTGGCAGATCTCAGAATGGACACCGTTTCTTGTCCAGAGCTGCCTGGGCTGCAGCTGTCTTGTTTTTTTGTTGGGTTGTTTGTTTTTGTACCGGGGATCAAACTCGGGTCCTTGTGCTTGTGAAGCAGGCACCAGAACCACTGAGTTAAATCCCCAGCCCCATAGCTGTCTTGGAGGTGGGGACTTGTTGGGAAACTGTGCTTCTCTCCGCCAGGCACAACCCACCATGAGCCTTAGAGTGACCCAGATGTTCACAAGCCATTGGGAGGCACCAAGGAGGGAGATGGAAGGTGATGTCAGAGAGGACTCCCCAGCTGACGTCCTTTGGGAAGGCAGGAGATGCAGATGTAGGGAAAAAGGAAGAGTGATTTGGAATGCAGAAGCTGGGGAATAAGATGGAGGAGAGAGAGGAGTCAGACTGGGATGTGTAGCAACAGGGGCCAGGTGGCCACAGGGACCTTGGCTGCACAGTGACCCAGACAGGGGTGTTACCTTGGGTGAGGCAGGTCTCAGTGACTAGGGGGCTCCTTGGGGACGCAGGAACATATGCCTTGGTCTGAAAGGATGGTATCAGGCATTGCACCACACTATAGCATCCAGGACCTAGGAGAATGGAGGAAGTTTTAGGCCTGGGAGTTGTGTGATTCATAGAGTTAATTACTACCTGTGTTGCTAGTATTCACTGAATGATTTTAAGGAATATACAAGACCATAAAGAAGAAAACAACTAGCAGAGTTGACTCTAAAAAATGGGCAGTTCTTACTATATTATTACCTAAGGTGTACAAGGCTTTTGTCTTCCTAGGTGAGGTGGCACACAATGGTACCCTATTATACAGAAAGCTACAGTGTTTGGGTTTATCCCACAGCCGATACTTCTCAGTCGCTTTCTCTTTCAAACTTAGTAATAATCCAGCTGAGCCTGGTCTGCCCTCAGTCTGGGGACCAGTGAGGGAGGCTCAGGAGTCCAGGGTGACGCCTTTCCGGTTGCCCACCTTTCCCCTCCACCACAGTACTTGACTTGGTCAGATGGCTCTGTCCACCTGGCCAGTGACAAAGCAAAATGACAGACTCTGATGCTCTCACAGTCAGACATTATGAACACAGATCAGAAATGTGAGCTTTCTTCTCCACTTGCCTTTCAAGGAGAAGTTGCATCCCATTAAAGGTAACTATCCCAGCCCTGAATGCAAACCAGAGAGGAACGGAGTCTCCAACTGATTTTTCAACTTTCTATTGAAGTACGACATAGGTAGAGAAAATTGCATAAAAAGAAACACTGTGATTTTTCAACTTTCTATTGAAGTACGACATAGGTAGAGAAAATTGCATAAAAAGAAACACTGTGATTCATTTTGTCACAATGAACACACACATGTAACCAGCACCTGGATCAAGAAACAAACATGAACAACCTCGTGTCTGTGATCCCAGCATTCGGGAGGCTAACGTAGGAGAATCACCATGAGTTCTAGGCCAGCCTGAACTACATAGGAACAGCATCTTGAAAGAAAAATAGGGGCGGGGGGTGAGCTTCCTCCAAATGCCTCTCAGTACCCCCCAGCCTCCTAGCACAAGGATAAGCACTATTCTAATTTCCCAGCATCATAGGTGAGTGTAACCTGTGTTTGAGATTTCTGCAAATGGAACCATAAAGCACATATTCTTTGTGTCTGGCTTCTACTACACGTGACTTTTAGGATTCATGGCTATTGTATATAATTATGATTTTTCTCATGCTGTATGACATTCTAGTTTGGGAATGAACACCAGTTTACTTATCCATGATGTGACCATAAATCCTGACTTGTCAACTTCACCGGATTAAGAAAAGCCTGGCAGATTAGCAAAGCACACTCCTGGGCGTGTCTAGGAGGGTCCTGTGGGTGTGGCCTTTGGGACTAGAGCTGGCCCCTGGCCCATTCCCCTCTGGCACTGTTCCCCGGTTCTGCTTCCAGCCACTGTGAACTGAGCAGGTTTCCGCCGTGATGTTCCCACCGTGGAGCCTGCATCTCCCGAAACCACAAGCCAAATCAGATCTTGCCTCCTTTAAACTGGGGGTGTCAGGTGTTGTGTCTCAGCAATGGGAAAGCTGACTAATCCAGGCAATAAGCATTTGGATGAGGTCTCATTTTTGGCTATGACAAAATGTGCCGTCACAAAATTCTCATATGTCTCGGCACATAAGTGTACGTGCTCCTATCAGATCTATATCTAAGACAGGAAAGGCTGAGTCATGGATTCACAGCATGAATTTTTAAGTTGTCTCCATCTCTTCACATTCTGAGCACCTCTCCCTGTCTGGCAGTAGTTTCTAAACCCACCTTGCAGCTCCTTTGGGTGAGATCTCTGGGAGAGAAATCAGGAATGATTCATTTCTCTGCCTTTTAGTCCAGAGCAATTTCAGTTGACATCAGAGTTCGAGAATGGAACAAACCATTTCTTCCAGAGAGCTCATTGAAAGACAGGCTGGCTTTTGCTATTCAAAACACCCTTTCATTTCCACAGAGTGACTATTTCCTTATTCTTAAATCTGCATTTCTGATATTGTTCGCTGTTATACCTTGCATCCTTTTATTTTAATCTAGTTATGTCATTATGCTTAAAGCGGACTTCTTAAAGGCAGTATACAGTTGGGTTTTTGGTTTTCTAAGATTCAACTGGCATAATCATTGATGTGTTTAGACCATTAACCATTAACGTAATGGCTGATAGAGATTTCTGTTTGTTTGCCCCCTCTGTTTTCTTTTCCTCTGCACCCCTCTCCTGACTTCTTTTAGGTTATTTGAATATTTTTAGCATTCCATCCTAACTTATCTATTGGCTTTTGGCTAGATCTCTTTGCATTACTCTTTAGTGGCTGTTCAGGGCTTAGAATATACTTACATAACTAACCTTTCACAACTCACTCAGAATTTACTCTTCCCCACTTCAGGTCAAATACTGAAGCTTTACCAACATATAGGCCCCTCCACCTACCCTCCTTTACATTATAATTGTTACTGTTTGTACTCTGAAACTGCTTTTCAACAGCCATGTATTTGAAAGAATTTGGGAGAAGGAAAATAGTCTAAACATTAACACAGATACTTACCATTTTTTTTTTTTTTTTTTTTTTTTTTTTTTTTTTTTCTAGTACAGAGATAGAACTCAGGACCTTGTGCTTGCAAGGCAGGCATGGTGCCACTGAGCTAAATCCCTGGACCCTTTTCGTGTTCTTTCTTCATTGTTGAAGTTCCAGATGTCTCTGGTATTATTTCCCTTCGGCTGAAAGTACTTCCATTAGTTTTTTTCACCATAGATTTTCTAGCAACAAATTATCTTAGTTTTCCTGAAAATATCTCATTTTTGTCTTATTTCCTAAAAGATTTTTTTTCAGGATATAGAATTCTGTATGGACAGTTCTATTCTTTCAGCTCTTTAAAAAAGTTTCTTCCAACCTGATAGGAAATCTAAAGTCATTCAAATTACTGTAACATGTCTATTTTTAGGGATGGGGAGTGTCCCACTATTTTCAAGATTTTTTGCCTTACCTTGTGTTCTTAGCAATTTATTATAGATTTTCTTTAAAAATTTTCTGTGTTTTGGGCTCCCTGAACTTCTTAAATCTGTACATACATCTTTTTTCAAAGTTGGAAAGTTTCCTCTCACTATTTTCTCAAATTACATTTTTCTACCACAGTCTTTTCTCCCTCTCTGCAGCTCCAATGACACAAAAGGATAGATTTTTTTATCATTAAAAATTTTTTTTTTTCTGTTTGTTAGATAGGATCATTTCTCTTGGTCTATTTTCAAGTTCACTGGCTTTTCCCTATTTCCTCTCTATTCTACTACAGAACCCACCTAGTGAATCTTTTATTTCAGTTACTGTGTTTTTCATTTCTAAAAATTCCATCTCGTCTTTTTATGGTTTCTGTGTCTCTGCTGAAAATGCCTGTTTTACCACCCCTTTGGTAAAGGTGTCCCTTTATCTCACTGTAGTAGTAAGGGTTCTATAGAAACATAAAATCAATATAAAATGTGCAAATTTAAACAAAGGGTTACAGGGCTCAAGGCAGAAGGGTCCCAGTGGCTACCAGCAGGATCAGAGGTGGAAGAAACCCAGTAGCAGTGGCCCGTGATGGTCTGAAGCTCACCACAGAGTCACTAGTGGGAGTCTGTGTCAGAAGGCTGAGGAACCCATGTTAGAAGACTGCAGAGTCCACACCGGAAAGCTGAAGGAACTGGCGACCAAAGTCCAAAGACAATGGAGAGGACCAGAGCTCCTCCAAGAAGGAAAACACTTGCTGCTTTCCCTCTTCATTCTGTCCACGCTACTATATCGGTTGGTGCCACCCTCGTCCAGGGTGGGTCTTCCCCCTTCGGTTTGCTGCCCTACCTACCAGTCATCCACAGAACACCCAGGGCTTACAAATCCCCTGGGCAGTTAGTTACTCACATCAAGTCGACACCATATAACAATTGCTTTACGGTCTTCCTCTGGTGACGCCAACAACTCCTCATCTCAGGGCTGACCGTCTATTGGCCATGTGTTCCCTGCAAATTGGATCACACTTTCCCAGTTCTCAGTGTGTTCGGAACGATCTGAACAGTAAGTTCTGAGATGCTGGGCCTGGTTTTTAAACATATCTCTGTGAACATGCAGCCAGCCAGGTAGGCTCAGAGCATATGACCAACTTACCATCTGTTGGTTTGGTTTTCAGAGCGGGTATCACCGTGCATGTGGCACTCTGGGGGTGGCTCAGGTTCACACAGGTCGAGCACTGTAGCTCAGCTCCTGAAGCCTGAGCCGTTCCTGGGGTCTGTGCTCACGTGTGAGCTTGGGGAGCAGCTCATGGTTTGCACCGATTCCGAGAATCCTCTTGCCTACAGCACTCCTCTCTGCATTTCCAACAAGAGTTCCCTCTCTGTGGCTCCCCTGGACAGAGACGGGCTCTCTCGTGGGGTGGAAGTGTCTGCATCACCCTCCTCCAGTGCAGCTCTGGAGAGGGGACAGCTTGGGTGAGGCCAGGAGAGGGACAAGACAAAGCAGAACTGGAGCCGTCCCTGTCCTCTCAGGCTAGCAGGTCCCTCTTTCTGCCTGCACAGATGGGCCTTCTCCTGGGACTTTTGCTCTCTCTACCAATTTAACATCTCATGATTTAGGCTCCCTAGGGTCAAAGCTAAGAGACAAAGGAGATTATAAAACAAAATGAGCTAGGCGTGGTGGTGCACACCCATAATGCCAGCACTGGGAAGGCTGAGGCAAGAGGTTTGCCATGAGTCCAAGGCCAGCCTGGGCTACATAGTGAAACCCTGTCTCAAAAAACCCAAATAAGTGGAAAAAAACCCCACAAACTTTGTATGTCTAGAATCAGATTCCATCTTACAGACGGTGAAACTGGGCTGAGAAAGGTAGTATTGCACAGAAGAGCGGGAAGGCCCAGAGTGGTTTCTTGTGAGCCAGAAGGAAGAAAGTGGCAGAACAGGGACTTGCGGCTGACACCGAGCTCCCTGCCTGGCCAGAGGTCTTTCTGCCCGTCTTCTGCTCTGAGTAATCTCAGCAGAAGCTCCCCTAGGGCTGAGAGCCAGGCGTGGGCAGGCAGCGTCTTCTCTTCATCTTTAATCTTTGCAGAGCAGGGGCGGTACGAGTGCGTGTATGAGCGTGCATGTGGACGCATGTGTGAGCGGATGCACGTGCTCAGGCACCCCCAGCGTGGCTGATCCCATCTGTGGCCGGCAGCTTGTCCAGCACCGTGAGCCACCGGTTCATGTCCCCGGGAGAATTCACTGTGCTCGCCGAGTGCACAACCAGCGAGTGGCACGTGATGGCTCAGAAGCAGGTGACGCTCCGAGACAAGATGGAGAGGCTCAGCGTCACCGGGTGCCCCCGCCTGTCCAGATCAGAAGCTGGCCCTCTCTGCAGGGCTGTCTTTGGGGACCTTCTGTGGATCCAGGTAGAGCTCGATGCAGGTGAGTCTGCGGAATCTGGCAGGTGGAGGTAAACTGTGGAGTCTTTCATTTCCTCAAGCCTGTCCTGCGAACGCCCGCGATTTAATAATTAACAACACCGACACATATTGAGTTAGTTATTTCTGGTTTTGCTTCATTTGAGACAAAGTCTTGCTGCGCAGTTCAGGCTGGCCTTGAACTCATGGTGATCCTCCTGCCTCAGCCTCCCAAGTGTCAGGATGACAGGCATGCGCACCACCACCCTTGGCCCAAGCTGGTTTCTTAGCTATCATTTCTTGAGCACCTCTGTGTGCCACACACAATTCTAAGTGCTTTTCCTCTGCTGGCACTGTCTCCACATCATAGATAATGAAACAGTGACAGAGAAAGGTCCGGAAATGTCCCCTAAGCCACAAGGCCAACAAGCCAGTGGGAGTTCCCAGACTCCCTAAGTGCTGCTTTGAATGCTCATAGTCCCATCTCAAGAACTTCCACACCATCTCCTGCTCGGAGAATTTGAACAGGATGAGGTAGGGCCTGGGGAGCACACACCAGTGCGGCACAGCCATGTTGCCCTCAGTCAGGGCTAAGGTTCGGTGTACACACTGGTTCTGCCCTACCAACTGCTATGAGTAGGGTCCATTCTGATTGGTCACAGAGGCATTCTGATTGGGTATTGTATCTAGTTTGATCGCTTCAGGTGTCCATTCTGATTGGTTGTGGCCTCTTTTCTGATTGGTCACTGTACTTGTTTTGACTGGACATGGCATCCATACTAATTTGTCACAGAATTCATTTTGATTGGCCACGGTGTCCATTGGATTCCTCAGAAATCTATTCTAATTGGTTGGTGCACACACAGTTTCCTGTACTCTTAAATATCATCCCTCCTCCCAACAGAGACCCTCTTGGCTACAATGAACGTGTCCTTAGCCTGGGCAGCATCTTTTGATGAGGCCCAGATCCTGTCTGATGTCTGGATGGGGCCTGATGATGGAACTGGGGTAGTTAGGGCTGTGGAAGTGAGGACACGACTCAGGGGGACCCGGATCACCACCCAGAGCCCTGCTCTTGGACTATCATAGGCTTTGACACAGGGCTCATGGGAGTCCTTTCTGTTTCTGGGGGCTTGGTGGAAGTTGACTTGAGACCAGCACTTGGGGAAACTTAAAATAACCCTTCTGGTATTTGTTCATCCTACAAATATAATTAATTGAGCACGAACTCTTGGCCAGGTGCAGGGCACGTAACAGTAAACGAAAGGTAGGGGTCGTGCTCTCCTGGGGCTTGTGTTACCAACATCACCGCTATCACTGTCATCAGCGTCGCTAAAACAGCAGCTTTGCCCCTATTGAAAAGAACCCTAATCTTTTGATGTAAATCAGACTAAGAGGCAACCACAATATTCAGCATCCCAGTAGGGCAACCATGTGCAGACTGGAAGCGAGCCTCCCCTTCTGAGCTCAGGCTGAGTTCCTTGGGGGCAGGTCAGGAAAGTTGCTGGGGGAGGCAGAAGGAAATGCCCAGCTCCTGCCCAAAACAAGCCTGGAGGTTCCCACCCCTCGCAGGATGCTGCTTTCTCCGTTTCCTCCCACAAGGATAACACTATCAACCATATGTTCCAGTGTCTTCTGTTAAAAACTTCTAGATCCAGGGCCGGGGATTTAGCTCAGCGGTTCGGAGGCCTGCTTTGCAAGCGCAAGGACCCGAGTTCAATCCCCGGTACCAACAAACAAAACAAAAAACTTCTAGGTCCAGCTATAATCCCAGAATTTAGGAGGCCGAAGCTAAGGGTCACAAGTTCCAGCCCAGTCCGGGCAACTCAGTGACTTAGTGAGACTTGGTCTCAAAATTTAAATAAATAAACAAACAAACAAATAAGCAAATAAAATAAAGGGATGTAGCTCTGTTTGAAGGACCTGGGCTCAATCCCAGTGTGGGAAACATACACACACACACCACAAAAACCAAAAACAGCTAGGTCCAAGGGTAACACATGCATAGTATACGTAAATAAATTAGAATGAACAGAGAGGACAAAAAAGAAAGAATATCACTGCTTAACTCAAAACTCGGGGCTAGTTGATGTTAAGAGGGGGTGGCTGTGGTAGGCAGAGACCTATCCTGCTATTTCTTTGTACCCATATGTCTATGTAACATCAGAACTCGAGTCTGAACATCACAGGACAGCCAACGGCATGACTAGCACAACATTCTTCTATTTCTCTCAGCCCATCCAGGAACAAGGGTGACTTACACTGTGCTCCTGGCTAACACGACCCTGGCTGAGTCCACCGCCCGGTGGGGCTCCCTGCCCTACAATCTGACCCTGGATGGAGACACCCAGGACCTGCTGGGCCCTGGGCAGCACTTCCTGGAGATCCAGGCCCAGAGCAACAGCTCCGCCTCCACACCCTCCCAGAACCTCACCGTGCAGCTTGTGGAGCGGCTGTCAGGGCCGCAGGCCTCCTGGGATTCCACCCGAGTGGAGCTGGGACAGGACCTTTTGAACAATGTCTCTGTGGCTCCCAGTACCCTGGAAGGGCTGACCTTTGAGGTGACGGGACTCAATGCCAGCTTCTCCCAAGAGGAAGAGAGCTTCGGGGAGCCAGCTGGGACTCACCTGGTGACACTTCCTGTTGAAGGTACTCGGGGTGGGTGGCTGCCCTTCCGAGCCTCCCTCTTCTTCCCTGACTGGTGCCTTGGGTCCTGCCAGTGTGTCCTGGGTCTCCAAGTAGGGTCACCACGCTGCAGGGCTTCTCAGCTTTGACACCTCTGACGTATGGCACTGGACACTTTGTCTCAGTCAGAAGCCGTGCCATAGTCACCTGGCCTCTACCACTAGGTCCCCCAAGCCACGACAGCCAAAAACGTCTCCAGACACTGCCAAAGGTCCCCTGAAATACGGCTGCCCCTCAGAGAGCCGCCGGAAGGGAGCAGGTATATTCAGATTTCCTCCACCGTCCTCAGGGGAGAGTATGGGATTGGGAAACCATGGAGGGGCGTTGGTAAAACTGCAAGGTGATGGACAGCGGGTGGGGAGAGGAAGAGTCAGGATGATGCTGGCTGAGGACAGATGGTTGGCATGGCCAGGGAGGGCACGGCACACATCTGCATTTGATCAGGAAGGAGCTGGGCACCCTGGAGGGCGGGGTGATGAGCTGAGCGGCGAGAGTCCCTGCCCTCCCAGGCCCCTCCCTGCAGGGCCCGCTGATCTCAGAGCTGTGCCAGGAAAGGGGTGACACTCAGCCAGGGCCCTGGCAAGAGACGGCAGCAGGGATGATCAACTAGCAAAGACCACTGCAACTTTGCCAAGCACAAGGGTCCAGCTCAGAGCAGGCAGAAGGCAGTCTGTGGAAACTGCAACACAGACGGCTCTCCCGTGAGAGCTCCAGTGGGAGCTTAGCCCCTCCCGATGGACAAAAGCGCCCGCCCCGGGACTTCTGCACTCACCCTCAGGTGATTCGCAGACTTCTCTTCCCCGCAAGACCAACAGGTCTGGGCGACTCTGGGGGAGCAGGGGCTGGGACGGGGGCATTTGCATGTGAAGGTGCCAGCCTGGCCGCACAGCCCAGCAGATGCTTGGAGCCACGTCTAGCAGGAGCGTCCAGGGCTCCCAAGACCGAGCTGGCCAGGAACGAGTACCTGCTCATCCTCCCGTGTGCAGCTCTGGCCCTGGTTGCATCCTGTGAATCATTTCTGTTCCTCCTGCGGTTGAGGTGACCCTGTGCCATGCCCACAGGGCTCCTGTGCCAGCTCCTGCCATGGCTTGGCATTTCCTGTCCACGTTTCTCCCCCACAGTAAGTCCCTTAGGGACAGGGACCCCACTTCCGTGACCCCAGGACTTGCCCTGTGCCTGGTATACAGCAGGTACTCACCACACGCTGGGGGAGTGAAAGCGTCAGGTGCCTGCATGGCCTGGACCGGCCTCGTGAGGACAGTTGTCATGACGACACCGTAACTGCGCCCTCGGCCTTCTCGCTGCAGGCCCCTTTCTTGTCACCGTGCTGGTGAGGAACGCCTTCTGGAACTTGATGCGTCATGGTCACAGGCAAGGCGGCTCTGCTGCCAGGACCAGGAGTCCAGGGCACTGCCTGAGGTCTCCCGCGATGCCATTCACACAGGGAACCAAAACAGAATACCGTGTCCTTCAGACAGAGTTCTCTGCAGTGATCAAAAACATTAGAAAATATTACCTCGTACTGAACATGCATAGACTTTTTTCTTGTCACTGTCCCCTAAACATAAAGAATAACAAGTACTTATATAGCATTTATATTATTCAGGGTACCATAAATAATGTAGAAGTGATTTAAAGCATCTAAGTTGGGCTGAGGGTGCAGCTCAGTGGTAGTGTTTGTCTAGCACGTGAGAGCCCTAGGTTCCATTTCCTAGCACTGCAGAAAGAAAGAAGGAAGGAAGGAGAGAGAGAGAGAGAGAGAGAGAGAGAGAGAGAGAGAGAGAGAGAAAAGAAAGATTGTATGCATAAATTATATGCAAAATATTATCCCATTTTGTATGCGGGATTTCAACAGCCTTGAATTTGGGTGTCTGAGATTTCTTTTTTTCTTTCTTTTTTATTTGGAGACAGGGTCTCATTAAGTCGCTAAGTTGTCCAGGCTGGACTCAAAGTTGTGATCCTCCTGCCTCGGGCTCCGAGTGCTGGGGTGAGGGATTCTGGAACCAATTCCCTGCAGGTGCCAAAGGACAGCTAACCGTGCAGTAAAACATTCAACAGCAATCTGGCATCGGATGGCGGGGGAGTTTGTATTCGTTATGATGCTTCAGGCTGCACAGAAGAGAAAGTCCAACCTAAGTGGCCTGACGCTCAGAGCTTTCTTCTCCCACATAGTAAGAAGCTAAGAGATAAGAAGCTCCAGGGCTGATTTAGCAAGACCAGGAACAGTCTGTCTTTCTGCTGTGTCTGGCTTTGTTTAGTCTTTGTCACTTGAGGGTCCAGGCGGTGGTGGCTGAAGTTCTAGACTCTGTGGTTAACCCGGCACGCTTCCTCCTGTGCTCTTATTTGTGGACAGTCTTTCTTTCTGGCCAGGGCAGGCCCCGTGGCCAACCGTGAGGGATGCTGGGAAAGCAGCTGTGTGGCTCTTCAGGTGCTGTGGACCAGGTGCACTCTGGCTGCCAGGGGAGGTGGCGGCGGCAGCTGACTGAGCCACCAGCTGTCAGCAGCCACTGCAGGGCTCCGAGTTCACCTGCAGCGAGTCTGTGGGGTCTCTGGGCATCACGGCACAGGAAAGCAGTCAGGCAGGCTTGAATCAGAAGGCAGTTTGAGCAGCAGCTTATAGAATGAAAAGTCCAGGGGACAGATTCGCCCCAAGCACCGCCAGACCCATCCCCAGCATCTTCGAAAGCCGAGCCTCTCCCTCCTTGGTTCTGCACTGGCTTTCTCTTCCCTGATTCTTTCTTCCCCAGTGGTATAGCAAGATGGCGCCGGGCTCTGGTCCTGGTCCCCAGAGGCGAGAGACCAGCCTCACTGGGCATCTGCTGCGCTGGTCTGGGGCTCCTTGGCTGGTCCAGGTCGAGCTTGTGTCCCTCCCTCCCTGCAGGCCCGCTGCTGACCACTGGGACCTGGCACTCCCTTGGGGCGGCCCAGGGTCACAGGTGCACCCTGGGTGGGCGCGGTGAGGGCCCAGCTCTGCCCACCCACCCCAGGGCAGAGAGGCAGGGTCCCAGGGAGGCGGCACTGAAGGTTGGGGCTGGCATGGGTGAAGGTGCTGTCACGCGTCCACTCTGCTGTCCACAGCCCTCCTTTTTCATGGGTGGGATCTGAGGCCAGGAGAAGTTTATTAAGTTTGGAGAAGTCCCTGACATAATTTGTGGCAGGAGCGACTATCTCTCTTGGTTTCGTCTGGAGTTACTGAACAGTGCTCCTTCTTAAAGTTACGAGAGCCCTTTAGCTGGCATCTTAGCATAGCTTGTTTTGTTTGTTATGTAGTCCAAGATGGCCTCAAGCTCGAGGCAATTCTCCTGCCTCAGCCTCCCGAGTGCTGGGATTACAGGCGTTCTTGATTGAAGCAGTGGGGTAAACAGCATAACACTCAGTGCTCCTGCAGCCCTGGGAATCAGGCTGCCTTCAGTCTCATTTGTAGCAAAGGAAATGAGACTCAGAAAGAATAAACTGCCCAGGTTGGCACAGCCAGGAGAGGCCAGCGAGGGGCTGAGGACACGCAGCTGGTGCACTGTGACCGCCTCCCAGCAGCCGGCCCTTTCTCCCCACTCACCCTGGCAGAGTTCGCACCATGGAAATCCAGTACACGCTGCAAGCCGCTCCTCGCCTGCTCTGCAGCACAGAGATGCGCTCGAACACTGTACAGCCTGTTTTGCACCGACAGCTGCCTCTTCCTGAACTGCCACAGAGGCATCCATACCCGGGAGTGATGTTCACCTAAACCAGGGCACAGGGACCAACACAGTCCCCAAGTTTCTGCCTGGGTGACCTGGTTATTCCGGCGTGGCCCCAGCTCCTACAGCCACTCCCACATGAGCCCCTCAGGGGAACCCCACTACTCGGGGCCCCTGTGACCAATCACCCGTCTCGCTGTCTCTGGATGTAATCCGGTCAGTGATGAACAGAACCGTCACAGCCTCCCCGTGCCTGCGACCATGGCAGAAGCCTCCATGCTGTCTTAATAACCTGTCATGAGGTTTCCCACCACAGCTTAACTTCTACTCCCACTGTGTTCACAGCGCCTGCTGGTCTCCAAGAACCATCCGGAATGAATGCTGAAGAAAAGAATGTGAGTATGTTTTAAAAACAGCCTTGCAAAGAAAACAATGTCCAAGTGCTCTGTTTGAATTTTGTTTGTTGGTCCCAATAACCAAGGCCCTAAGAGTCTCTAAGGGATCTTCTATTTGAAAAGAGGCCCAGTCTGGGGATTTAGCTCAGTGGTTCTGCCACCTGCCTTGCAAGTGCAAGGTCCCGAGTTCAGTCCCCGGTACCAAAAAAAAGAGAAAAGAGGCCCAGAAAGACTTAAATCAAAGAAAACATGTCTTCTAACCACAAAAGAATTGTTCTGTAAATCAACAATAAGCCTTCAGGCGGTATAAATATCTCTCAGACATCCTAGACATTAAACAGCACACTTGTATAAAAAGGAACGGCTTGGGAAGAAATCACAAAGGAAACTAGAAAATATTTCTAATTGAATGATGATGATAATATAACCTATCCAAATTCCTGGGATGCAGTAACACAGTACTTGGAGAGGTTTATAGCTTTTAATGTTCATTTTAGCAAACAAAGCCAGACCTGGTGGCCCACACCTTTACTCCTAGCACGCAGGAGGCTGAGTCAGGAGGTTCGCCGCCATAAGTTCAAGGCCAGCCTGAACTACATCGAGAAACCATGTTTCATAAAAAAAATAAATAAAAACATTTTTTAAACTTTAAAAACACACACCAAAAAGAAAACAAGCACACGCTAGTTAGTTTCTGTAGCGAGACGGAGTCTTCAATTCCTTGCTGTTGACATTGATCAGTGCACATTTGTCCAATGGCAAAGACTAAGGTGTTCAAAGGTCAGCACGGGGCACAGCGGTGTATTTATAGACGTGGTCCCTGCCTTCACGAAGCTTCGATCAGGCAGACAAAATACAAGAACTAAGAACTGAAGAGTTACAGTAAGTGCTGAATGGGGCGCGGTGACAGACACTTTGATAGGGCCTGGATGCCCGGGCAGGCACTTGGGCTTTCCCCACAGGACCTGGGCTTGTACTCCACTCTACGTAGCTCCTGCTATTCCAGGCCAGGCGCTCCAGACCTGAGCAAGAGGCCCTGAGAACTACTGGACAGGTCATACCAGCACTCACTCCGACCTGCGCCGTGAGCCTGTCCTCCAGGGAAACAGCCCCTGGCCCCACTGCCGGGTTTACAAAGGTAGCAGCTGTGCATGCCTTGTCTGGACCACACAGGGCACTCGCAGACAGGATCCGCAGCAACGCTGGTGGTCAGATGTGATCAAACCCCTGGAGAACGGACGCTCAGGGACTTAGAAACTAGCTGAGACCACAGTCTGAGCTTTTTCTGGGCCTTACCTACTGCCTCCCTCTCCCACTTTCTTACGATTCCTTGGGCTGCCCTCTACCTTGGAACAGTTCTGGCTCAGAGTTTTAATTTAATAATTTTATGTGCCTCTTTTCTGCCTAACTTCCAGGCAGAGGCCTGGTCTCTATTCCTGGGTCTCCAGGCAGGAAGGACAGGGCCTGGTCCAGGGTGGCCTCAGCACAGCCGCATGCGCAGTGGCCCGAGCCCAGCCCAGGCAGAAAGACCCTTCCCCAGGGACCCAAGTGATGGACAACTCCATCCCCGTGAGGGGAACCGGTGGCTCAGCTCCTGCCTCACACCGTGGCCCCTTGGTGACTCACGGGTTGGCAGAGTCCCCTGAGCAATGTTGCTAACCATGGGGGCCGCCCATCAGCCGCTGCTTCCTGTGCAGAGAGACGAGGGGTGTGCGGAGCTGTGTGCTGAGCCCGGCCTGTTCGTGGATCCTTTCACTACTGTCACACTGAGCTGGCCCAACAATGACAAGGACTTGCGCTTCCACTGGGCTCGTGGTAGGTGGATTGGAGCTCTGGGCTTGTCCTTTCTCGCTACGAAGTGAGGGAGAGTGGTCAGATTTCTGCTCTTTTCCTTCCTTTTCACACAGGCATCACTTCTGCCTGACACTCTGGGTAGCTGGAATGTGCCAGGGATTGGAAATTCCACGGCAAGGGGAGGCTCTGAAGGAAAGTGGTAGCAGGTATAGAGAATGAAAGATAACATCATACCCTAAAGTCGGGCCTGGTGGGCCCCGGTGCTCCTGTGACCCAGCACTCGGGACACAGACGCAGGAGGATCACCGAGAGTCTGGGGCCTGCCTGGGCTCCGTGGTTAAGTTTATTTATTTATTTTTTTAAATTGAGTTTATTGGTACATTCTAGGTATACAGTACAGTTACATTCATCATTGGGATCTTGTACCTTTACATGACAGGTCTTGGTTAAGTTTAAAGCCAGCCTGAACTACATAGTGAGATTCTATCTTTAAAATACAAAACAGGGCCAGGGATTTAGCTCAGTGGTACTGTGCCTGCCTTGCAAGCGCAAGGTCCTGAGTTAGATCCCCAGTACCAAAAAAAAAAAATAAATAAACAAAGTAAACAAATAAAATAAAAATAAGCCCTAAAGAGCCAGTCTGCTGTTTGTACGCAGTTGCATATAATGTCAGAGATCAATGTCCAAACAATGTGATGATCTGTGATGAAACATTCCTTGCCTCTGGGGTGGCTCTCTCCCTTTCTGCTTTTCCTTGGGGATGTCACTTCAGGGAGCTGAAGGAGCAGGGCTCCGGCACTGTCTGGCACACCGACGTGGTGGCACTGAATTTTAGAAACGGTGACGTCTTTTTTACCGGGCTGCACCCTAGCTGCATACAGTTCCGTTAGAGGCAAAGCGAATGTCGTGCTCGCTGTGCAGGTTGCTTCTGTTACCCTTTTCTTCCTAGAGCAATGTATCCTGCACACTTCACAGTTCTGGTGTCTTCTAGCCTGTCTTGATTGTGCGATGGGTTGTCAAGTTGATCTACCACCATTTATTCACCAGAGCCATCTTTTTGAACATCTAAGTTGTTCCTAATTGTTTGCCATTATAAACAACACCGCTGCCATGAGTATTTTTATGGTTATGTCTTTGTTCACATCTCTGGTTGCTTCCCTAAATTTCTAAAAATGGAATAATCAGGCAGAATCCATGCAAAAAGTTCGGGGTCTTTGACAGTAATTGGCACATGGCCGTGACGTCTTGGCTGTCATCGATTGAATACAGGGGCACACGTGTGGTTTCAGCCACTGAGGGGAGCAGGAGCCCTGGCCTCTCTTGGGATCCAGGAGCACGCTGGGGGGCGGTGCTGACAGACAGACATCAATCGACAGAGCTGAAACCTCCAGAGTTGTCAACATAAACCAGGGGTTGACCCAGCAGCCCCGAGAAGGAGGTGCAGGTCCCAGGTGCCCACAGCACCCACAAGGACAGGGAGCTGCGCACGGACGGCCCCCTTTCTGGTGGTGCCAGCTGCAGTGGCCACCGTTAGCTCTGCCTCAACCGCCTGTACCCAGAGCAAAGCACAGCGTGAGGACGGGAGTGCAGGAGGCCGGAGGCCGGTCTTGGGAGAAGGTGCCCAGGCTGCCTCCCTGCACACAGGTGCCCCCGTCTCTCCCATGTGCCGGCCTGACCACCTGTGAAAGCCCAGGTACAGATTAGCGAGGTCCCCTGCCCCAAGCCCCTGCAGCGCCATCTTTGCAGCCCGTGAGTGACTTTTGTTTTCTTTTTTAAAAAATCAAAATCTCTGGAGCCGTTGTTGTTAGTCCTGACCCTTCTCTTCCAAAGCCCTCGAGCCAGAAGGGAGCCACACATGCCCAGTACGTGGTTCTTGATAAACGACAGCACTTTCTGTTTCTCAGGGCGATGCTGAGCTCAGTGGAGCGACTGTGTCGAGAGGCAGCTGCTCCGCACAGAACACAGGGAGCTGGTGGTTCCCCCACCCTGCCTGCCACCGCCGGACTCGGCTGTCACCCTGCGCCTGGCCGTCCTGCGGGGCCGGGAGCTGGAGAACCAGGAAGAGCGGTGCCTCTGTGTGTCTGCGCCCCTGGACCTCAGGCCTCGGCTCAGGTGGGCGTGTGGACCTGTCCCTCCGGGGCTGGTACTGACCCAGCTGGCTCTGTTCTCCCTGGAGTCCATGGTGATCGGTACCAAGGAAGGAAGGAAGGGAGAGAGGACAGAGGGACGGATGAAGGGAGGGCGGAAGGGGGGGTCGGTCTATGCCAACTCCCGCTCCAGGGGTCAGAAAGGCCTTTGGGGCTAGGGTTCAGCAGAGATGAGGAGGAGGAAGAGCTACAGGGGAAGGGGGGCTACAGAGAGAACAGACAGGGCAAAGCAAGCGCGCAGAAATCTTCAGCATGCGAGAGGCCGGTGTAGAGAGGATGGAGGAGCCAGAAGGAGCCGGGACACAGGAGGACCCCTGGCTCAGAGAGGGCCTCGCAGACTCTTTGGGTCCGGACCCCTTCGCTGAGGATGCTACAGAGAGAGCCGCCTAAGAGTCATGAGACGCGGTTGCATCTTGCTTCAAAACTCTCTGCTAGCAGGGTGCAGAAAGGCCGCAGGAGGGAGAGAGAGGCCTCAGGGAGGTGGCTTAGACTTTTGCGGGAAGCAAGGTAAGAGCAGGAAGTAGCTTGGACCATCAGCCTGGGCCCCACAGGCAGCACCTCCAGCGGGAACTGCCCACAAACAGGAAATGAAGGTTCCATTTGCAGCTATGGACAGGTCTAAGGGAACAACAACCTCTGAGGACGATGTTCTGCTCAGAGTCACCCTGGGACGTGACACCCCGGCAGCCGCGTTCAGCTGGTACTTAGAGGGTCCGTCTGCAGGGCAGGTGAGACACTGATGACCACTCGGGGTGGAAACGGCCCCCTGATGTGATGCGCCAGACCTGCGTTGAAGGCCAGTAATGCAGTCAGTGCAGCGGGGTCCACAGGGCGGGGAAAGGAGGGAGTTGGCAGTGGGGTTTGGGAGTGCAGAAGAGCAAAGCCATGGGGCCCTGCCCCAGGCACCGGTGATGCCCAGCCAAGGCCCTTCTGGCTGACACCTGCCCCCAGCTCTGTGTGGTGTGGGCTCCGACAGCGCTGTGCCCTTCCCCCGGAAGGCGGTGTCTACAGAGCACCTTCCGCTCCCGGACGCCTCTTTCTTCCATCCGTTCCCACCCTGCCGACTCCCTGCAAGATGTCCCTCCGCCAGTGACCTGCACACACGGCCCCATCTCAGGCTCCACTTGCAGTGACCCTCACCTAAGACAGACAGCCTGAGCCAGCTTTTGGGGCCGATGCCCAGGAACGCCGGTGGCCCGCAGTCTGTTCGCTGGAGACAAATCTGCAAAGCCACCTGGGGTCAGAAGCCACTGTCCTGCGGAGACTAGCGGCCTGACTCCAGCCTCTTTCAGGCTGAGCCCCTCCAGGACACCTGCAGGCTCCCAGGTTCTGGCCAAGGTTCCCGCCCTCCTGCAGAGCAATGCCTCCACGCTGCTGCTGGACAGCAGCTCCCTGCGGTCCTGGGGACAGGTGATCCGGATCCGAGCCACGGGTAAGATGCCCCCACCCCGGCATGGTGAAGCAGGGGGCTTCAGTGCAGCACAGGGCCAGGGCCAGGCCCTGGAGTGAATGTGCCACCACGGCTCTCCACCGGGGAGACTTCTACCAGGCTCAGTTTCCCCACACGTAAACCAGGGGTGCCAGGTGTGCCTGCCTCAGAATGGTGACCGTGCAGGAGGGTGACAGAACACCAGTGGGGCAGGCAGGTTGTCCAACAGTCACAAAGACTGCCTGCCCTGTCAGGAGAATTCAGGCTTTCTGTGGAAAACAAGCTCAGCGTGGGAAACGCAGATTCCCAAAAACGAAGCGTCCGGTGATAAAGCTTTTTAGGAAGAAAGCCTTAGAGTCTGTATTTCCTAAAGTGGCCCACAGACACCCCCAGCAGGATAAACTGGTCCACCCCACACCTTCTGAACTGACTTTAGGTGAAGTAAATGATTAAACTTAAATTAAATGGATTGACTTTAGGTTTGTAATTGATTAAAATTCTTGCTGGGTATGACGGTGCACCCTGTAATCCCGGCACTCAGGAGGCTGCAGCAGGAGGGTCGCTGCAAATCCGTGGGCAGCCTGGGTTATGTTAGCGAATTCAAGGCCAGCCTGAACTGTACATCAAGACCCCATCTCAAAGAAAATTCTCCTTTCCTAGATCTTGATGAATATGCTTTAAAAAACAAAACAAAACGAAACTAGGTGAGTGTAGCACATAAGTGGGACGTGGTTGGAGGTCCCCTGCAGGTTCTTCACAGTGCACGGGGTACCTGGAAAGCAGTGGGCTTCGAGGTGCAGTCGACCTGCTTCGAGATCCTGGCTCTGGCCCTTTCTACTCAGGGGCCGTCAGGAAGGCAGCATGTCCCAGTCTGTGTCCTCTTCACCAAATCCCCAGGAGGAAGCTGCTGTCACTATGGGCCCTGTTTTATAGTACTGACCTTCCCAAAGGTCAGGTCCAAGGTCCTGGCTGGTAAACGGCAGCACTGTGCGGTTTTCTTCCTCTATCTCTGCCCAACTTCTCCATGTGAGCTCCCTGTCCCAGGGGAGCTGTGAGCTAGGAGTATTGGGGGGCCTGAGGGAAGCCCCGAGAGGTCCGGAAAGAGACTGAGAACCGTCGTGTTTCATCCCCTCCCTACACACCCCGGGCCATCCTGAGACGCGATTGGGGGTGGTGACCCACGCAGCCCCTGAGCATGCACCGTCTTCACTCCCAGCGCTGACCGGGGACACGTATGGGGAGGACACTTTCGTGATCAGCATGCTGCCTCCTCCCGAGGTGCCCACCTGTGCCATCGTCCCAGAGGAGGGCACCATTCTGACGAGCTTTGCGGTTCTCTGCAACACCTCAGTGGCTCTGGGGCCCCTGGAGTTCTGCTTCTGCCTGGAATCAGGTATGTCCGGGAACTCTGCTCTCCCCTCAGCTCCTGGACGGCTCTCTCTTCAGTACAGGGAGCCCCCCACCGGCCTGTTCTCTCTTCCCCCCTCC